GTTAGATTGTTGTTGTCATTGGCTGCTAATTTGGGCTGGAAATTACAGCAATTCGATGTCAAAAATGCCTTTTTACATGGTGATCTTAAGGAGGAGGTTTATATGGAAGTTCCACCGGGGTTTGGTTCGAATACAGGACAGGTGGTATGCAGCTTAAGATAGGCGTTGTATGGATTAAAACAGTCTCCAAGAGCTTGGTTTGGAAGGTTTGCCAAGGTAATGCTTAATATGGGATACAAACAGAGCCAAGGCGATCACACCTTGTTTGTAAAGCACTCGGCTTCAGGGGGAGTGACTGCATTGTTAGTCTATGTAGACAACATTATAGTGACAGGTGACGATTTGGAAGGAATGGAGAATTTAAAGAAGTGTTTAGTGAAAGAATGCGAAATCAAAGAGCTTGGCAAACTAAAGTATTTTCTCGGCATTGAGGTAGCACATTCTCGGGAAGGAATTTTCATATTTCAGCAAAAATATGTAACAAATTTGCTAATGGAAGCAGGAAAGTTAGGTTGCAGACCAGCAGAGACGCCTATAAAGTTTAACCACAGGCTTGGAGATGCTCTGGAAGACACGGCAGTAGATAAAGGCTCCTATCAAAGACTTGTGGGAAGGCTTATCTACTTGTCACACACTAGACCAGACATAGCCTATGCAGTTAGTGTTGTAAGTCAATTCATGCACAATCCCAACGAGTCACATCTTAGGGCTGTGTATCGAATCCTACAGTACTTGAAAGGCACACTGGGCAAAGGAATTCTATTTAAGAAGGGGGAGGAGCTAACTCTTGAAGTCTACACTGATGCAGATTATGCAGGGTCTGTAATTGAGAGGAGATCTACCTCGGGTTATTGCACTTTTCAAGGAGGCAACCTTGTGACTTGGAGGAGTAAAAAACAAAATGTTGTGGCAAGATCCAGTGCAGAAGCCGAGTTTAGAGCAATGGCACTTGGGATTTGCGAATTATTATGGCTGAAATTTGTCTTAGAAGATCTAAGAGTCAAGTGGGAAGGTCCAATGAAGCTTTATTGTGACAATAAGTCGGCCATTAATATTGCACATAATCCAGTGCAACACGACCGTACGAAGCACATTGAAGTTGACAGGCACTTTATAAAGGAGAAGCTTGACAGTGGCCTAATTTGCACGCCATTCGTTTCCACTAGCAATCAACTTGCAGACATACTCACCAAAGGATTGTTTGGGACGTTTTTTCAGAGACTAGCAAGCAAGCTTGGAATGGATGATATCCATTCACCAGCTTGAGGGGGAGTGTGGAAAATTCAGTTCTATAAATAAGGAAACCGTGTGTGTATAGCTGTAATTAGCTAAGGAAACCATGTGTGTATAGCTGTAATTAGCTAGGAGATCTTGTAATATTTTAGTCATTGTAATCACTGATTTTAGGGAATTAGTATCTCTAGGATTAGACAGCCCTGATTTTAGGGAATTAGTATTTCTAGGATTAGACAGTTTCCTAGTTTTAGAGTTTCCTAATTTAGATCCTCTTAAGTGTATATAATAGTGTAATTTCATTGCGATTTCAATACAATTGAATTTCAGCCCAATTTGTGTCAAGCAGCAACAATAACTTTTTTCTGGCAGCATCTACGAACTCCAAAAATTCTGATTTTAGGATAGGCTGTAGCCATGGGATGTTAGCTTTTCAACGCCACTGATCGCACGTCAATCCGACTAGAAACAAAGCGCACGTTTTAGTGTCTGCTGGTCCTGCTGAAAAAAATCCTTCGAACAGCACATTTCAAGCTTTTTTCTATGGTAATTGATAGCACTTGAGACCATCAAACCTTCACTCCTATTTCAAGATTTTTTCTATGGTAATTGATAGCACTTGAGACCATCAAACCTCACTACTATGACCTCTATGGTACCCACAAGTTATGGAAGGGTTGGCTCCAACATGACAATAGAAAACCTTAGACTAGGGAGAGAGAGCACAAAAGGGTATGTGAAAACTTGCATCTTGCATCAAACTAAGGCACACATATTTATAGGCAAGGAAGGGTGGCTGCCAACCCTAGGAGACCTCTAGGGCTGGCCGCTGCTCTTTCCTTTTCTCTCTCCAACTTCTTGTTTCCTTTTATCTCTAATTACTTGCTTACCAAGTTTACCTAGGAGTGAGATCCAATGGACCTATTCAAACTTAGCTTCCAATGGGCTTCTTAAAGTACCAGTTAACACCATGACTAAATTAATCAGCCTATTTAACTATTTTTAATTTCACTAAATAAAAATAGTTGCACTCCAAGTTATGAATAAAATTTAAAAAGTGCCACACTGTGTCGAGTACATAATTACCCCCCTATGCATGAATTAGGATATCCATCAATCCAATCACTAATTTATCTTTTGTAATTTACTTCTTGATTAAAGCGTTTGACCACCTAAAAAGTTTCCTTAAGAAATTAATATATTTAATAAATAAATATATAACAAAACCACTTCATCTAAAACTACTGGATCTGGATTTTGTGGTCAAACTTAATCAAGTCATAATAAATGAACTAGTATAAACACCACATAGATGTTATCTTGAGAATACTTGTACAAACTTATATGTAATAATTTATGATTACCCAAATTACCCAGATTTTAGACCCTAGGGCCCACTAAATAAGTCAAAGTAACCACTAACTAATACACAAGTCCACTATTCTCTCTGACTTAACAATTAGTTATTACACCAATAAGGAGAAATTCCAATGACGGCAATCATAATTTCTACAACTTATTCTCGTTCCGTTCAGTGTGTTGTACACACCAATATGTACAAGTCCTTCTATTTATAATGTCTATGATAAGTCAATCGAGCTACATGTTACACCGTTACAGAATAGAGTGACCAATTCTATTCATGAATGCGAACAAGCTTTTATGAAAATGTAATTTTGATGATTTATCTCTCCTATGTATTTGGCTCCATCGTGGATGCACATAAATCATGTTACATAATCAAATGAACCTTTGCCTCAACTCTGGAGTCAACCACTACTAGGCATTCACCATAAATGTATTTAAAGCATGTAAACTAAAATATCAGATTTCATCAATAAAGTGTCAAATATAATTGAGGATTGGCTTGTGGGGCACAAACAATCCCAATAATTAGTGCAATGTGTAATGCTAGTGCTAAAAAGAGAATTCAAATAAACAATTTGTTGAACTGCTGAAGGGACTGAAACTGAAACACTAATAATGATTGTCATTAAAGATGACAGAAATGGTAGTGGGTCAGACGGTTGAGAGATGTTAATGGTTTATTAATCATCTAATGTTCACCAATGATTGTTTTATTATCTTTTGGACTTTGTGTCATTGGACTGTAAAAGTTTGGGCTTAAATATTAATCTCTTCCTAATCTGCAGAAGATCATGTAGGTTGAGAGATATGACATGAGGTTTGGATCGATCAATGGTTTTTATACTCTCTTTTTTTCCGTTAAAAGCTTCTAAAATATTGTGGTGTTGTGATTGTGTCCTGATTACACATGGCACCTGTTACTAAGGCATTGAGAAGTACATTATTATGGTAGGCATCAAAATGTGGATTTATCGAATGCAGTGAGCTAAGGATCTTGTCAACAACAATTAATATAAAAAGCTAGCTATCTTTTGGGGGAAAAAAAAAAAGAAAAAGAATTTTTATGGTAGGATACGGAAACTATTAAATGTTGTAAGCTTTAGGATAAGACCAAAGCTGCAATATCGAGTTGGGAAATGATTTGAGCGAAGCTGTGAGAAGCTTTTCTACCATCCCGTAAATACAAACTTTGTTTAGAAGATTCTAAAATCCTTTTCAAGAAGGTAAATTAGTGCAATGCACTAATAGTTGTTGGCTTTTAATTAGGAATTCCTTAATAGAAGAATACTACTAGATGGTAGTTTATTGCATCAATTATATTGTGTAGGCAGTTCATGGTTAATTTCCCTTGCATACTTACTTGTCGATTAGAAGATGCACATCACCTTTTGTTCAAAACTTGTGTTAAAATGTGTTATGTTACGTGCTTCAAGAGTGGTAGAGACGGTATATCATGCTGTTAGTGCAATGTGTAATGTTAGTGCTAAAAGAAGAATTCAATAAACAATTTGCTGAACTGCTGAAGGGACTGAAGTAAAAAGGAAAATGAAACACTTATACTGATTGTCAAGAAAGATGAAGGAAATGGTAATGTGTCATATGGATGAGAGATTTTAGTTATCTAATCATCCAATGTTGACCAATGATTGTTTTATAATCTTTTGGACCTTGTGTCATTGGGCTGTAAAAATTGGCTTAAATATTAATCTCGTCCTAATCTGCAGAAGATCATGTAGATTGAGAGATATACCATGATGTTTAAGTCGATCAATGGTTTTTACTCATTTTTTCATTGAAAGCTTCTAAAAAGATCGTGGTGTTGACATTGTTGTGATGGTGTATTGATTACACATTGCACCTGTTACTGAGGCATTAAGCAGTACGCTTTTATGGTAGGCATCATAATGGGGATTTAGTGAATGAAAAAAAAAAAAAAAAAAAATGCAGCAAAAAACTTGAGGATGATGATTTGTGGATGTCCCATGATTGAAGCTACAAGTGTGACTGATTTGAAGGTTTTTGAAGATTTGAACGTCTTATATATTATGGCATGCTTTGGGAGAAAAATGTGAGGTTGATCCAAAAGTCATTTAGCTGACTTAATATTGGTGGGACAAACTTTGTTGTGTTGAGTTTTAGGCATCTATTTAAAGCAAGATTTAGGGTGAATTAGTGATTGGGCTTTATATGAACAAGGGAAAAGTTGTATGATATAGATTATTTAGCTACTCTAATACTTGTTTATATTCGGTAATTGAAGCTGCGTGTGCATAGTCTTTTCCTTTGTACCATCTTTTATTTCAGTTATTCTCATGACGGATAGCATTCTGTCATTGCACAGTTCCTTTTCGTGTATTATCAGTTTGATTCAAAGTTCTTTTTCGTTTTCTGATTCACAGATTGGGAAATGACGACTCCAATCAATCAACATCTGGTCTCTTTGTGTGTGCCATTTGCCAAGTTGACCTTGCTCCAAGAGAAGGCATATCCGTTCATGCTGGTTTTATGTTCTCCACAAGCTTAAAGCCTTGGCAAGGTCCTTTCCTTTGTACTGATTGCCGTAACAAGAAGGATGCGATGGAAGGAAAACGACCTAGTGGGGTTAAAGTGGCATAGCTCCCTTATTGTTTTTCGCCGACTCTCTGAGTCTCTGTGTCCTCATTTTTCACTAATCCCCATTTTTTTAGTGGCCTGGCAATTGTTTGAATCTTGCTATCATTTGCACAAAATGTAAAAGTGATTTTCTGGTAACGTAGAATGAGTTCTATCATAATCATATGATGGGTGAAAAGGATATAATCTTTATATTTCAGAAGCTTACTTGCTGGTTTATTTTGTAGGAAATGATATCAATTGTAGGTTACTTGTTACCATACGACCTTAACTGCAGTATGACAATGAATAAAGTTCCATAAGGGAGAAACATAGTAGCATTGAGCAGAAGCAACAAAGATTTGGAGTAGGCCAGTGAGCCATACATTGCTTAATGTACGACTATGAAGAGGTGAACGGTCTGGGTTAGGGGTGGAAAAATGGTTCATGACCTACCAACTCGTTTATATCTGTCCGTTTTAAAATAAAGTTGGATGAATTTAAAATATAGGTCAAAATGAGTGACTCATATTTACGCAGACCTAATTTTACCTTCTCTATTTGACTATTCACACCCCACTCTCTAAAATTCCCACATGATCCCGGATTCTCTCTCTGCCTCTCCCACTCTCTCTATAAAATAATCTATAAGATTCGCTCTACAATTCTTTGTAGTACTATAGTACTGCTCTACGACACCAACAAGGCTACAACACATATACAATATATCTGTGTATATTATATCTGTTATGCTTTCTTACCAACAAAATCCTCTACTTCTTTTGGTAATTCTTGCGCCAATATCTAATGGTCGATCCCTCCTCTCTATGCACATATATGTATACATACATATATATATAGAGAGAGAAGACATATGGAAGTCAAAATAATATTCTTAAAGAAAATTGAAGTAATTTTATTATTAGTATTATTTTTATTTTTTATGGTTAATTGATTACTGTATGGACAAAATCCTATACTCCACCACCACTGGACGCATAAAGGAGTTTTACCTTTGGAACAAGAACAAACTTCTCACCAAATCACTCTTCAAGATGTAAAATCATTTGGGCCTAAACAGTATGAGCAGACATAGAAATGAACCCAAATATTTGAAAACAACTGGACCTAATGTAGCACCTTGAAAATCTACATGCTTGATGAAATAAATATTTTATATGATAAATGAAGTTTAAATTGAAATCAATACTTCATTTTAATAAAAAAAAGAATTAAAAAATAAAAAATAAGAAGAAGTCACGAAAGAACCAATTCACTCTATACAAGTCATACGTAAATATTGACTTCATAATGAAGTTTAACTCAATATAATGATAATCATTTGATCAAGCATAAACAATTAGAATATATTTATCTAACTTAAATATCGTCTAATTAAATTCAAATCAGTATATCTTTGAAAAAAATAAGTAAAGCAATAATAGAAGAAAATACGGGAAAGAAACTAACAAGTACAGAAAAAATACCATGTCAATTCTTTGCTATTCTTAGGTCAAGATTAATTGGCAATCTTTCCATTGGATGCTCGTGAAAGTAACATTCTCCTGCCAATCAAAAGAAACAAATGTGAAACAATGTGAAAAAAATCTATTTTACATAAACAAATAATGCAAAACTTAGTTCTATAATATTTAGGGTAAATTACACTCAGATCCCCTGAGATTAGTTCATTTTACACCTACATGAAGATTTTGGCTTTAATTTTCACTTATATTTGAAAGAGTGATTTAGTGTTTCACTTACACCCCAAATGTCAATTTGGAGTGATGTCAGAGTTACTTTTAGGTGTAAAATGACTATAAAACCCTTTTGATTTTGTACTGATTTTATTTCATATATAAAATGACTTAACTACCCCCAACAGACCCATCTGAAATGACCAAAATGTCCCCAAAACACAAACTGAATCCTATTGGCAGAGTTTATTGGTGGAATAAGCTGCTCGGCGGGAAGCTTGAAATGTCGGCACTGATGACGCTGAAATTTAAGGAACAGCAGCCAAGGAATGAACCAGTAAGAGGTGGGTCTGTTCCGCAGAGGCAAGCGGTGATGGGTGGCTGCTGGCAATCGCCGAATTGGGGTGGGTTTGTTCCAGTGTTAGTGATGATGGATGAAATGATTGCAAGGCGGCATGGAATGGCGAGAACAGGAGGCTATGACCATGAGTGGACAGTTAACGTGTCCAGCAAACTTACCGGCATAATTGTCTTCACAGGTTAGCATGGAGTGCACGCCGGCGAAGTGGGTCTATGGTGATGATGGACAGCAGGTTCGAAGCGACGGAGATGGTTGGTGGTTGATGGGCCGGCAATGGTGAAGATGATGGCAAGGTTTTGAGTCTTGACGGTGACGGATTGAGCAGCTCAACATGGACGACGGTACGGAATGGCAGTGGGAACACTCCGTCCAAACTCTCTCCATCGTCACAACCATCTTGCAGCCTGAAAAACTTATTGGCAGGCTACGAAAATGTCTTCACCGGTGAGAATGGAGTGCACAGCGGCGAAATGGGTCTAGTGATGATGGACGACAGTTCGAAACGAAGGTGTATCTGTTACTCTATCTCTATTCCGTCCACTTAGCTCCTAAAAAATTGAGGGGGAAAAGGCAATCAAAATTGAATTATATATATCATGCTGTTCTAAAAATCAAAAAAGAAGATTTCCACCCAAACATATAGTCAAATTTAAGTCAACTAAGAGAATATTTTGTGTTTCAGAAGTCCCAACAATATTTGAAATTCTCAACCAATATTAGCATCTAAATAAAAATAATACAAAACACAAATTGAAAACAGCATAATCCCTATTTGCCCAGAAACAAAATTGCATAATTCTTGTATAATTATCAGAAATTTGAGAGCAATAGTAGTGTAGTGGGTAGATTTATTATATATATGCATATAAGTATATATATAGAGAGAGAGTGTACAAGCGTAGATGCGATCTTGGGGACGGCCTGACTTGATGAGGACTTCGAGGTCGACGAGGCCTAAAGACATGAGGCCAAGAGTGAGACCAGCCATGAGACCAGCGAAGATCATAAGTCCTATGATTATCAGCACATACAACGCGAACATAGTCCCACAGCACAGTGCGTCTGCTGCCATCTCAAAAACTCGTATTTCTCTCTCTAAAACTCTATCTCTCTATATCCTCCTCGAGATTTTGCCGTCGTAAGGGAAGGAAAGGGAAGAAGGTATGTCTGTTACTTTATCTTTTTTTATAATTATATATATATATATATATAGTATATATTTTCCTTTTCCCAGGTCGGCAAAATAGCTAATGATGAAGACGGTAGAACAGACGAGCGGCGCCGGTAGCGATGAAGGGGCGGTGGTGGCCGATGCAGGAGGTGTAGCGGTCGCTGTAATAACTGGGACTGGATATATATTTGTATAGGGGCTTTTTTGTCATTTAAGATTACAATATTTTGTATTAAACAATTGAGGGTGAAATGGTCAATTCACATGTATGAGAAGTGTAAAAGTAAGTTAGGATGTAAGTGAAAGTTAAAACCAAAATTTTCATTTACCTGAAATATGACCTATACCCAGGGGGTGTCAGTGTAATTTACCCTTATATTTATGGAGTTTAAAATTTGTCATTTTAACAAAATTTTAGTGTTGATTATATATATATATATAATAGTAAAAAAGTAAAGAAGAAATCAATAGCTTAATTCTTAGCAAGAAACAGATCTTAAAAATGTAATAATTACCATTTTCTCAATAGGTACTGAAGTGTCCATTATGTTGGTAGTAGAAATCAATATACTCAATACAAGATGTCTTGAGCTAACCAACATAATCGGAGCAATCATATACAAAAATATTATTTCACTATAGTGTATTTTTGTATATGCACCAAAAAGCAAATCTTTGGCATATAGCCCGGACAACGTTACCTTTAAAAAACACAACATAATACACACAGATACACAAAGATGACATAGACATGCACATATAGAGAGATATTTATAGAAGAAACATTAAATAAATTGGTGGAAGTAAGTTTGCGGTTTTATTACAGGAACAAAGTTGTTCTGCTAGTTCTCGAACAATATTGTATTCTTTTTAAAAGAAAGATTAGAAAAAATAATAATTCTAAATTGAGAAATTCAAATGGAAGAGGATTACCATAACCTCAATAATGCTATGGAGGCATATGAAGTCAAACAGCAACAATAAAGTTAAATTTTTTTTTTTTCTTTTATCCTGGTAAATTAAGAGAAGGGGACTCGAGCGCGAACACACCCGTTCGGAGAGCTGGAGACTCTATCAATTATGTCACTGAGTAATAATCTAAGAGCTGGAATTCAAGTCCGATTTTTATATTTTTTTAAAGATACTTTTAAAGTCCGTGGTTTATTAAAAAAAAAAAAAAAAGAAAAAAAGAAAAAGAAAAAGCTATTCGGACATTATAAGAATCTTCTAAACGTTACTGAGTAAGATAGAATAACAGTTTCCTTTCAAAACTTGCCTATATTCAAGAGCGAAGCAGAGTTGAGTGTATGTTTTGGATACTTCGTAGAAAACCCGAAGTAACTTACCTTTTGGGTCCTTGTATCATGTCACATGAAAATCTATTAACTAGTTCTAGATCTCAAATTGGTATATAGATAAAAATATAAATAATAAATAAATAAGGGTGATGAATAGCCATTTGAGTTTTAAAACTATTTGAGTTATACATTATATATGTTCATGTAAGGGAAAAAATATTACTTAAAGTAGTAGCATTTAGAGAATATTCTCCAAAATAAATTCATCTACTACCAAGTTAGACAATTTAGAAAACGGTGTATTAAAACTAAGAGCTACTAACAATAATATCTGAGCAAACTCAACTTCAAGTTAGTAGTAATAGTTGAATTGAAAAATGTTTGTGCATTGTAAGGTGATTGTATCTAAATTTTTAAATAATAAATGAATTATTTGCTTACAAGATTGAGTTATGTGATGTGTGATACATGAAAGATTATGACTTCCTGATTATCATTTGAAATGAATTAACACATACCTAAACATAAATAACTTAAAGTCATAAATATAAAAGATGTAGAATCAAATATTAATTAGAGTTCATTATAATTAATATCTCTAGTATTAATTCATAAAAATATCTGTGATTTATTATAAGAAGATATATAAGGAGTAAAGTGAGCAGAGACTACTATACACGGTTGTTGAGAAAACGAAATGGTGAAAAAAGTAAATGAGGTGAAATGTTTAATATATGATATTTGAAGAGTTGAAAA